CTCGCAACCACGGTTCGCCTTGAACAATTCACAAAAATACCAATATTGGCTAAAGATAAAAAAAAATTTTTTTTAAAAAATACAAGGCATTTTGTTGTAAGAAAATTTAAGTTTAGAATCTTACGCACCCCATTCCATCATCTTTCTAGCACAGCTTGCCTTTTGCTTTCTTGTTTCCATTTAAATGAATCATTTCCCGTATACATAGCAGGGTGAGAAGACCAAAACATAGGCTAGCTTGTGTCTCAGTGCACCCCAAATGTCTAAGCTCCCTTTTGGATGTGTCACACACAAGTTCCTTCAATATTATATTGATCTGGCAGAAAAACATGTGTTCTGGGTACTTGAGCCACGGTGGTGCAGTGGCTAGAGTGCATTACTGCAGGCTACTTCTGCTGACTGCTGGCTGACTGCAATTTGGCAGATCGAATCTCATCAGGCTCAAGGTTGACTCAGCCTTCCATCCTTCCGAGGTGAGTAAAATGAGGACCCAGATTGTTGGGGGGGGGGAATAGGTTGACTCTGTAAACCGCTTAGAGAGGGCTGTGAAGCATTGTAAAGTGGTATGTAAATCTAAGTGCTATTGCTATTGCTACTTACTGTTCCTATGCCCCAATAGCATGAGTTGCTTATATCACAAAGGGAACATAGTTAAGGAGGGGTGGGACATTTCATTCCATATTCAATTTAAAAAAAAAAAAGGTTTGGAGGTGAATTCTCCTACCTGCCCAATGGATTGACGTAACTGGCTGAATGTATTCTGGATGTTTTCCCTGGCTGCCTCCATTTTTACCACAGCATACCGGTAGGCCCGATGCTGGAGTTTAGTTGACAGGGAACCAAGTTTCACAAAATAACCTTGGGATTCAGGTGGCAGAGGGACCCCTTCTGGTGCAGATTGTGCTATTTGAGCTGTGGAACATATAGTTAAAGACAGGTTACTCCTTTGAAACGTCTGCTCAGGCTTCGACGCATGGAAGCCATTTTCTTTTCCAAAGGTATGGCAATATTCACACAAGATAATTGAGTGAGACTGTGAGAATTGCAAATGCTAAATTCCTATGATCTCACCGGCACCAGACTGGAGATGTTGGGGTAAAACTCCTTGCTTACCAAGTTCTTCATCCGTCATTGGTAGATAGTGATCCAACAATTCTCCCGATTTCTCCAGTACTGCTTCTACCCCACTGATGGCGAGTTTACCCATTTTCGTGTCTATGAACATCTCTTTGCCATCTTGGACAGCTTTGGCTACGGCGTCTTTGGCATCTGCTACTTTGGAGGATACCAGTTCCTGTGTTTCAGAAATAACCTAGAGAGATACCATTGAAGAACAGAAGCAATATTCAGTGCCTTGGGAACTGGAAGTAATGTAGCTCTAACCATTGTTTTCTTAAGAATGACTCTGGGTAGGCAAAAAGTCAGAATCTATATTTGGAAAACAAGCAATATGTCCCTTCTATTGCTTTTTAGATTCCATTCTCTCCCCCAGCTACTGTGCTCTGTTCTAAGCTATCAGATCAGTGTTTCTCAACCTTGGCAATTTGAAGATGTCTGGACTTCAAGTCCCAGAATTCCCCAGCCAGCGAATGCTGGCTGGGGAATTCTGGGAGTTGNATCCCACTCTAATGGCAGAAAGTGAAGAGGAACTAAAGATCCTCTTGATGCGGGTAAAGATTCTCCGCAGATCTTCTCCAAGATCACCGCAGATGGGGACTGCAGCCAAGAAATTAAAAGATGCTTGCTCCTGCGGAGAAAAGCTATGGCAAATCTAGACAGCATTCTAAAAAGCAGAGATCTCACCCTGCCAACAAAAGTGCGCATAGTCAAGGCTATGGTTTTCCCAATTGCAATGTATGGCTGTGAAATTTGGACCATAAAAAAGGCTGAGCGCCAAAGAATGGAGACCTTTGAACTATGGTGCTGGAGAAGACTCCTGCAAGTCCCTTGGACTGCAAGGCGATCAAGCCAATCAGTCCGAGGGGAGATCAACCCTGATTGCTCTTTAGAAAGCCAGATCCTGAAGAGGAAACTCAAATACTTTTTGAGTCCATCTAATGAGAAGGAAGGACTCATTGGAGAAGAGCCTAATGTTGGGAACGATTGAGGGCAAAAGAAGAAGTGGACGACAGAGAATGAGGTGGCAAAATGGCTTCTCAGCGAACTGGTAGTAAACCAGTTGGGAATCTACCACTGGAGCAAACAACAGTAAAGTCTATTGTGTGAGAGAAAGAGTGTTGAAACAGCTCCTCTCTAGTAGTTTTCGTGTATGTTTTCAAGTAGTCTGTTTTAGTTTGGCAAGATTTTTGCCTTCTGCAGGTGAGAATACTAAAGGAAGAAACTGCTTAGAAGAACCTCAAAATGTGTTACATTTTTGGAGCCTGACAGGTTTTCAGAACCCATTGCACATCTTGAGATTGCTGCTCACTGTTCACATCAAGACTTTCCATGCATCAACTAACATAGCCTTTGGCTAGACTGCATGTTGTGTTCAATGAAGGCCTGGAGAACTTAATGGACTTTCTGCCATTAGAGTGGTATAGTCTGCCTATCCATGGAAAGAGAATTCACTTTAAGAAAGTTGAAACTAGGTAGAACTTGGATTATGCCTGCTGGGTCCTCTTTCTGTGTGTGTTCAAGATATGTCTACATCTCAAAACCAGGAGAGACATTTTCTTGGCAAAAAAGAGGGATGCCCTAAAGCAGATGTTCCAGAAAGAATCTTTTATTTATTTCTCTGTTTTGAACATGCTTATATCAATGATTTTCCAAACAACACGGGCCAAGTCACAGTGGTAGGCTTGGAAAGAACCATGAGAAATAAAGGAAATGTTCCTCGAAGCCTGATTTGTCAACTCATTCAGGTTGGGTGGAGAGCTGAAGAGAGAGAGAGAGAGAGAG